TTTTTAGTTTCAAATATTTTTTTTTGTCTGAATTGTGAATAAATATAATATTTACGAGTAAATACGACATTTACTAATAAATATTGGCAACCGGCGACTGAGTTTTTAGCTGAATATCTTATTTCATATTCACCAATAAATATCATATTTATCAATAAATACGTTTTTTTTTTCGATATCCGACTCCGGCGGCCAGATTTTTAGGTAAATAAGATATTTTTCCAATAAATACAGTATTTATCAGTTGCCGATGCTGGAGTTTCAAATATATATGATATTTATAGGTAAATATGATATTTACCAGTAAATCCTATATTTACCAATTGCTTATGCCGGCGGCTGGATTTTTAGATAAATATGGTATAGTATTTACGAGTAAATACGATATTTACTGGTAAATATGATATTTAGAGGTAAATACAACATTTTTTCAGTTGTTGACGGCTAGATTTTTTAGTAATTATGATATTTACATGTAAATACGGTATTTACCAGTCGCTAGCGATGGCCGCTAGAGCCGACGACGTATTTGTAGATAATTACGATCTTTACATTTAAATACGGTATTTACTGGTTGTCGACGACTGCCGCCAACCACCGCGGATTGTCAGCGACTGTCGCCAGCCATGGTGGAGTTTACTAGAAGAGGAAGGAGAGGGGTTAGGAGTATTTTTGAGTTTTTAATAATGTTTGAAACTTAACATTATTAAATTATGCTATAATTTACCTATTTCATAAAATTATGCTATAATTTACTTATTAACATGTGAATATGTTATTTCACTCATTTTTTTAAAATCATTTTGATACCTTCTCTTATAACAAAACACTAAATTGGTACCTAATATTATGAAAGTTGGTACCTTATATTTTTTATAATATTAAAATGGTATGTTCATATTTTAAAACACAAAAACATTTTGATACGTTGAGGCTTTTTTGAGACATAAGATGTCCAAAATACCCTTTTAATTAACTAAAACACAAAATGAAATAAAGGCATAATTATAATAGATGGTACTAAAATAATTTTATCCCTTATTCTAATTTCACTGTTCTCAAAAAATGTCGTTTAAAGAAGGTTCCAGAATTGCAAAAATCGACACGTGGTTTTCTTGCTACTACTGATGTTCTCTGATGTTCTTAACCGGCTACTAGAAGTAGAGGCTCAAAAGCAAATGAAAATGCCAGTCACTTACCCTCCCTTCCTTCCTTACCGTTAGATTATATATTTCAACGGCTGCGAATTAAAAGGCGGGACGTCCCTCGTTTTGCCCCATGGAACGCAAGAAGACCCCCTATATATATATATATAT